TCTTCAAGTAGGTCAGTAACCGTCTAACACGCGGTAGTGATTTCGTTAGTTTCAGTGGTCTCAACCAGATAAGTAAAAGAATGAGGCATTTACAGTGAACCCTGGTTATATTCTGCTTATAAAAATGTTCCTATCCGGTAGCATACAAGTTCTTTTTCAACCTGAATAATCAATCTTTCCACTGTTTATATAGAGTTTATTGTTAGGAATATCCTGGTATCTACGGGATTAGAATATTTTGCAATATTTTAGTTAATGTGCACAAGTTGTCTGTAACTTTGAAGCTGCAAACTTCAAATTTAAGAGATGGACACGAAGTATTACCACTCTGCTATTCGACACCACGAAATTCTGCTCTATAAAATGTAAAAAGCTAGGTAATTAAATTACATTCATCCCCATAATATTATGGGTGACATTTTTCTCACTTTCCAATATGCTGATGGACTTTCATGTTCGTTATTTAACGACTGTCCTGCCTTTCGTACATTTTAGACCTATATTCCTAGAAAAATATCGATTGGCAACTACAAATGTTTCACTGCAGTGTTCCACTATAATTTCTGCCCTTTATTGGAATCATTAAATTGTAGCACCTCACATATATCTTGTACATTTGTCATTGTTGAGCTTGTATGCACATGTACACTTGGGCACTACTTGCCACCTACACATATGGTTATTTGGCTAGCTTTATTGATTAACAGTTTGAATAATTCGATGTCAATATCGACTATACATATTTGGATTAAATCCGATATTTGTATCGATAATTAAATATTTTGAATAATAAAGAAATTGTGAAATTGGTCTGAGAATAGCCAACGACTGTTGCGAATTCACGACGTCAAGCATAACGCAACGTGCAGAGCTACGTCGACGGAGAAGCTCTCGGACTCAAGCTATTGGACGAATGCATCAGCGTATCAGACTCCATGAACAATGCAGACAGCACAGTCGTGTATCCATTGTACGTAACGAAGCCAGTTCATATTACACCATCACAGCAGTTTCACTACTATTACCTTGCAACAGATAATCCCAAGCGTACACGCACATACAAGCTCAACAATGATAGAAGTACAAGATATATGTGAGGTGCTTCAACAATAAGTGTAGTGTTGTATTGGACGATCTTAGCCTGCTTAGATCGACATCAGTATTTTGCAACGCTGCAAGTTTGTGATAATCAGTGTCAGATTGGATGAGAGAATTAACAATCGTTCTTGATAATGCATCTGCTACTTCATTGTTATGACCTATAATATATTGAATGTTAAACGTAAATTGGGAAATAAATTCCAATTTTCGAATTTCCCTCGGTTAATAGTTGTCGTGCTTGGCGTTTAATGCTTTCGTGAGGGGTTTATGATCTGTGTACACTGTCAAAATTGTGCCCTCAAGCATATGTCGAAAGTGCGTTATTGCCAAATAAATTGCTAGCAGTTATCTTCCGAACGTACTGTATCTCGTTTGCGTAGGACGTCTACAAACTGCTGTAACACGGCTCCATCAGCGATGTTCGACGCGTCAGTCATGACGACAAATGGAGCTTTGTCTTCTTGTCGTACCAACATTGTCTTTTCATCTAGCGCTCGTTTAGTGATCGCGAATGCTTTTATGGCGTCTGCTAACAAGTGAAATATTCGGGCACGTCCTCACAAAGCGTCTGTTAACGGCTGCAATATTGTAGCGCAGTTTGGAATGAATCGTCTATAGTAGTAGCCCGAGAAATCCTCGTAATTTCTATTGTGATTTGGGCTACGGATAATCCTGAATAGCTGTAAATTCTGATGGAACTTGTGTGACACCTTGAGAATTTATTATGTGTCCTAGAAATTGCAGTGATTTTTTTCCAAATTCACATTTCTCAACGTTGATGGCGATAGCGTGTTCTTGTAGTTTATTGAACAACTGTCTTAATTGTTGCAGATCTTTTTCCGGTGTAGCACTAGCTACAAGTGTGTCGTCGATGTACACATATATGCCTGACAAACCTCTAACGACCTGGTCGATTAATCTTTGCAAGGTATGAGCTGCATTAGTTAATCCGAATGGCATTCGCTAAAATTCGAATAATCCGGATGGAGTGATTACGGCCATTTTCGGTATATCCTCATGCGCCACGGGGACATGATAATAAGCCCCAACAAGGTCAATCTTCGAAAAGATAGTGGCACCTTCCATGTCGTTAGTAATGTCGGGGATATATGGCACTGGATATCTATCAGCAATGGTTTGTTTATTAAGTGCTCTATAATCTCCACATGGCCTGTACAGTCCATTCTTTTTCTGCGTCATATGCAACGTAGATGCCCAGGGACTACTTGATGGCTGCTTTATACCAAGTTTCATCGTTTTGTCAAATTCCTCTTTCCCAATGTTTAACCTTTTTGGGTCCAGGCGTCGTGGTCGTGCGTTACAAGGTGCGCCTCTTGTTACAATGTGATGTTGCACTGTATGTTTTAGATCAGTGTTATCGTAAGACACTTTCGTCAAGTCAGCCTATTCGTTTAGAAGCGATTTATGTGGATCGTTTTTATCTCTTGACACTACTAAATTCATAGGTTCGGGGTCAAAGATTATTGCTCTTGTCACCACTTTACGGTCTCTGTTCAAGAACTGGTTTCGTCTAAAATCTACTGATAAGTCGAACTTCTTCAAGAAATCAATACCGATCACAGGTACCGATAACAAACTCCCATCGAAGCAAAATTTTTCAACCGAAATCTACAGTTATTTTTCTCATTCCGTATGTTTTTATGTCGGACTTGTTTGCTGCTTGTAGTGTTAGTGCCGTATTATTATTTCGTCGTTCATTACTCACTGGTGGCACGATGCTTATTTCAGCTCATGTATCTACTAAAAATTGGGCACCTGTTAATCTGTCTTGAATGTAAAATAGACGACTGCTTTTTGGTGCCACGCCAGTTGTCGGAGACGTTACCGTAAACCGGCGGTACCGTTTCCCTGTTGTATTATTTTGAATCTGCACGGCGGTATGCACTTTCTAGCTTCGTCGCCGTACGTCTGGTGATACCAGCATAACATAGGTGCTGCACAGGTCAAACAGCGTGATCGATATTTGTCGTGCGATCTACTTCATGATCGTCTTTTTGGTCTCTATCCCAGATTCAGTTCGGAAAATGTTTGAGATAAATGGCCAATCTCCTTTTCTAAATCTTCGATATCAGTTTTAACTGAGGTATGATGTATCTGTGGACCCAACGTTTCCATTCTTTCATGAATCTTATCAGCTATTTCCATAAAATGATCTATATCTACTTCTATATCCTCAATTGCAAGGATTTGCTCGATATTTTTGGGGAGTCGCCGGAGCCACATTTGATAAAACATGTTGCTGTCCATCCTTCCGTCGCCTATTATGCTCCTCAAGTAATTTTTTAGCTGTGACGGAGTCTTATCACCAAGTTCTACTCGGCTGAGGAGTTGGTGTAGGCCTTGTTGGTCAGACTACTTTTGAGTACCCGCAAGCACTGAACGGCCGTTTCGTCCTAGTATGGGACTCATCATTATTCGGTATCTACAACCCTTCGGGTGACAAGTATTCTAAATTGCAAAGATAAGCTAACTTATAGGCATGAGTATTCTGGAGACCATGGTCTAACGAATGTGCTTCCTACTTGCAACTCAGATACAAACATACTCATTAGAGAGAACTAAAAGAGAAGAGGATTCGGAAGTTGTGATATGTTCTGATTTTTCCGAAAGAAATAGGTGTACTTTAGATCTGGTTCAGAGAACAATGTACAGCAAGGATGGATAAGCAAGACTAGTAAAGTTATAAAAAGGAGGGGGAACGTTAGTAAGGGTATTTGAACGCCGTATCTTCGTGGGGCAGTCTGTGAAAGGTGAATATTCGAGTCCTAAGAAGCACGTGAGTCATTTTGGACTGACCATATTCGACGAGATTCAAGTAATTATGTATGTTTAATAAACTCGTAAGTTCCTAACGCAAGTTCATAGAGAAGTGAGCATCTCATGAGATCCTTAACCGACCAGCTACGTAAAAATGCGAAAACCACTGATATGGACGAAACTGTGTAGGAAACATCTTCCATGGTGAAGGGATGCGTCACCAAATCAATTGAGCTGGCACATCTCTAAATGAACGGGACGAACATAAATGTGATATTTGTATTCCTTGCACTGACTGATAACGCCCAGAAATGTCCAATTCGTACTTGCGCTGTCACGCACGGACCCGCATAGAATTCAGGAAGAACTATACGTACATTCAAACGTACATTATTTAAAATTCGAATCAGACACGGAGTAATGCACATAGGAAACATTGTTGTGTACAACCATCACAACAACCTTACTAGACTGATGTATTGTAGGAAACTATTCAAGAAGTACTGATGGGAGGCACTATCTCATGCAGTGGCTCATCGTGTGCAACTGGTTAATAATGCTGAAAATTCTAATCAACTCTTAAGCTTTTAGTGATCTTTTAGTTTAACATGAAAGCTAGTCATCTTGATAGATGATTTGGTCAGGTCTCAGTAATATCTCATCAGTTCTACAGATTCTTCAGCTCAGCCGCCTACCTTTAATTGCCAGAACGTTTAGAAATTTAGGTAGGCGGATTATTTAGTTCAATCCAGCCGGTTAGTGATTAATAATCAAATGTTATTCAAAGACACATCGCATAGATTAGAGTGTACACTGCTAATTTAGTTTTTTAGTACAAGTGGGAGGCTGTTGAATGTAATTAGTTTATGAATAATATGTCTGTACCAGACTTTTAGTTACGTCAGACTATCACAACGAACTAAACCGGAACCAAATAGTGAATAATAAGTAGACTATTCGACATTCGCGACCTGACTAATAAGATATATGGAGTAGGATACTATAAGTAACCCATCCAACTAGGGTCACTGATTACAAACTCTAATTCAACAGTAAAGCTATATTGCCAACCGATGTTTGAGGCTTGATCAGGTGATGTAATCAACCAGGTGCGCTACATCATGACAAGGACTTACGATCAGGAACTGGCGTTTCTGGAGAAGATCACTCCGACATGTTGGAAGATCAAAAAAGGTTTTGTCCCAAACATGAATGTAAGTTTTCTGTTTCTTACAAGTGAGTTAGGTAATATATAGGTAGAAGGTGTTTTCTACGTTAATGATTTTCTTGAAAAGCTTATGTTTGATGAACTACGAAATTTTACTCGTAGTGGAGATTATGGTGGGTTTTTACCTGGAATGAAACAAATAGGAAATGTTGCAGCATTACCTGGGATCGTCCATGTAAGTTATAGAGCGCTTGTTGTCAACATTGTACCTAATATTTCATTAAAGCTTCGAAATTCATCGTTTCATCATTTTTAACTTCTTTTAATCGTAACAATCGTTTCCTAGAACTCCTCGAACACCATTGAGTTGCATATACTTGTCTCCAAACGGTTGTAATAATTTAGCTGCTGGTGTGTTGTGTCTGTTACCAGACTTTCTAACTTGAACAACTATCTGCTTCGTCTACGTGTCCATAATATAGCCTTTTTTCACCAGCAATTGTTTATGCATACGTATATGTATATACACATATATGAATGCAAACCTGCTAGTCGAGCTTATATCTGTCATATTTGAGTTATTAATCACAATAATACTTGCTTTAGAGTTATCCAAAGAGACTGCTTCCAGTCCTACGCACCAACCGTCACTTCACTGTAAGCAGTGATCCACAGCAACTAACCTTTCAGAATAATAAATATACCATCATACGACGTCGACTCCATCCTTTTTTGGTTTTTCGAATCCGTTAATAATATAATAACCTGCTGTGATGACCCATGTAAGCCGAAAAAGTTGTAATCAACTGGTAGTTTCTGTTTAGTTGTCGGGACTTTCACCTTTCTGTCCAGCTCTCTAGCTACCACATGCTCATAGTATTATATTCCGAAATGCTTCGAAAGATGTGGGCTTTAATTCTGGTAGCTGTAGAGTCAACCAATTGTGGCACACGTTCACTAACTCAATCGCAAAACCTGTTTCGTGTATTCGTCTTCTTCATCAATCCCTTGTGTGCTAGAAAGCATCGCGTTACTTGATGATCTTAAGAATAGGGAATTCACCCAAATAAAACCGAAAAGTAACTCTCAGTTGGTTAACCGTAATAGTAAATTTACTATTATGCTTCGCGACTTTGCATATTTCCTATCTTTTAGTATCACAATAGCTAAGAATTATGAAAAATTTGAACTTTCACCTGTTCCATTGTTTTCCCGTAGCGTTCAGTCGGCTTACCTGATGTACATTCTGGATATGGTTTTGCCATTGGTAAGTTATAAAATATCAGATCATATGTCATAGCTTTGATATTAACTTTTGTAATGCACTGGTATTCCACTTGATAGCTAGATTTTCGTTGTCTTTTGTTGGACACTTAGGATATATCTTAATAATAACTGCAAGGACTTATATCTCACCTTGTCTCTTAAACACACCCAATCAGTCAGTTACAACGTAGAACTTCGTGCGTACGTACTTCAGTTCAAGTTGCCATCTCGCATTAGCACAGAGATGCAACTGTCAGTTCATGCACCACACGATATCGCTCTTCGAGGTAGTCGGTGTTTGGGCATTCGTAATACATGTCCCAACCACCTCAACTGATGAAGTTTCAATACTTCCTGCATCCTGAACTCGCTTGGATTGTTGCTCAGGGTAGTAAGAACACTCTGGATTTGTCACCGCCATCACCAAGTAGAACTATGTCATCAGCATATTCTAAGTTAACCAGTGAATCTCCTGGTAGAAGGTCCACTCTTGAAGAGTTAGACGATGATAATGTTAACTCTAGAAGCATATCTATGACCAAGTTAAACAAGAATGGGGAGAGTGGACAGCCATGACGGACACGAATTCTGAAGACAGTTCGCCCTAAGCTCTCTCCCGACCAGTAGTGTTTGAGTAAAGAGCTTGTATAAGGTTAATGTACTTCTTTGGTTCACCTAATGATAGACACTGCTGCAGAACCTCACGATCAACGGAGTCGAATACCGCTTTAAGGTCGAGAAACACTACTATTGTGGGGCGTCCTAGGACCTGACGTAGTGTGAATGTCTGGTCTATACATCCACATCCAGGTCGAAAACCAGCCTGGTTTCCTCTAGTCTGCTCTTCATGAGCTCTAATTAGGCGTCGGAGTATTATTAAGGCCAATATTCTCGACACTATAATAGTTAGACTGATTCCCCTGTGATTGTCACAAGAGGACTTTTATCCTTTCTTATAAATTGGGACAATCAGCGACTGAGACCAGTTAGATGGAATTACGCCTAGTTCTCAGATTCTACCTAAGATCTCGGTCAATCTAACTGTTAGAACTGGACTACCGTCCTTAAAAAGGTTAGGGGTAAGCCTGTCAGGCCTTGCTGCTCTACCTCGCTTTAGATTTCCCATGGTTTTCTCAACTTCACAAAGACTCGGGAGACTTATATTGATTTGCCATTCAGGATGACCGGAGATCGTGAACAACCGAAGTGTGGCTGAAGGCCAGTTGAACTGATCCCTGAAGTGTTCTGCCCATCGACCCAATCTCCCGGCTCGAGAATGAATAATAAGACCATCCTTTTCTGAGATAGTCTCACTCAGAGTCGGATTCCTAATACCGGTTTCCTTGTTTAGTCTGAATAGTAGTCTAATGTGGCCTGTTGCCGCTGCCTTTTCCATCGCTTTTGCTTTCGCCACCCACCACTGTTCGCGATCATTGCATAGGCATTTTGTCAGCCTGCGCCTGAGCTGACTTCACTTTTCATCATGTTCACAGCCAGGAGGGTTGAGTTTACGAACGTCTATCAGTTCGGTGGATGCTACTGAGATCCACGGCTTCTTCCTAGACTTGCGATTTACCTTACTAGCAGATATCACTGCTGTTTCCACAGCCTTTTTGATATCATTCCAAGCTACCTACGGATGGGAATCGCTTACATGGTCGCCTAACTGTCTTTCTAGTTGCTCCTGAAATGTAGTCTTGGCTGTGTTATCACTAGGTAGAACCCTAACAGGTTTCCCTGCGGTGTCTTTCCTACGTCCAGTAAGCCTCAAACAAATACGCGCTCGCACTAGAGCATGATCTGAATCTAAACATGTGATCCAGAACGAGCGACAGTCCTCTATAGAACTTCTCCATCGATAGCTGATGGTGATGTGATCTAGTTGGGTACAACGTTGAGACGACTTTGAGGGTCGCCAGATCAGATGTTTTTCCTTATGCTTAAAGTTAATGTTTACTAAAAATAGGCGGTTATCTGAGCAAAGTTGCAACAGACGGTCGCCATTGTCTGTTCTCTGAGCCGCGACACCATAACATCCACCAAGGTGTCTCTCCTGCTCACTTAGTCTACCTACTTGAGCATCGAAGTCACCAGCCATTATAACTATATCAGAGCGCTTAACTTTTTGGAGTAGGTCCGAAAGCTTTCCGTAAAACTCATCTTTTACCTCGTCTGAATTGCAGTCAGTGGGGGCGTAGACAGATACGACGAAGAAGCATTGACGACTGTCCTTGTCTTTTTGAGCGCTTACTGTCGGAAAGCGCACAAGTGGCTATCTGCTAAGATCCAGTCTAGGAGCGCTAGTTCTGCCCTAGGACTCAAAGCTATACCTACATCAGCGAGTCCCCGGGAAGCAGCATCAGGGCTACCGGATGAACGAAGGGTAAATCGAGTTGCTTCTTTATCTTGACATGGTGAGGTCAAGCGAATGACGCTACTCGAATCCTGTATGCGCGTTTTGCAGCCGCAGCATGGGATTCCAGAGTCCTAGCTAAAGAAGTCTGTCGTCCTTCTCAGAACAAAAAGTGCTTGTGTTCTAATGTTTTATGATTGGCCTCATTGTTCCTCTTCTTCTCTCGTTAGTCGATGCTTGGTTTCGTAATAATAAACTATTATCCAGCGTCTTCATAACTTCTCTATACGTACAATCATCTTGTTAAATTGCCACATTCATAAAGCTCCGTTTGTGGACATATAGTAATGTGTGAATAACCAGAACATTCGATCATCAGTATCCAAACCACAATCAGAGTATACGTTATTTTCGACAATTATCTCTGTAATTAGGTACGAGCTATTGTCCTACATGACTGATAGGGAGTGGAGTAGTCGAGGGTGTTGACCACTTTACTCCTCTTGGGAGTCTCCCTCGTGCTGACGGTCTGGTGTGTGACGAAATTTCGGCACAGATACAACAGGCTCTATAGGCTTTTGCAAAACTTGCATGACTTGTGGCGTGGGCGAGATATCCGCTGCTGATCAAAGAATGAATATACTGCGCAACAGTTCGCTCCGTTCTCCTATACGGGTGTGAATTATGGCCACTAAGAGTAGAGGACACTCGTAAGTTATTAGTATTCGACCACAGGTGTCTTCGAAGTATTGCTCGTATATCCTGAGACCACTAAGTAAGCAATGCTGTCGTTAGAAAACCAGTACTAGGTAAGGATGGGGGATCAATAGATGAAGTATTGAAAATTTATCAGCTGAGGTGGTTGGGACATGTATTACGAATGCCCAACCACCGACTGCCTCGTCGAACCATGTTTTGTGGTATAGGAGTAGGCTGGAAGAATGCTAGAGAGCGTCCAAACGAAATCATGGCAGAAATCCATGAAGTCACTGACAAGTGAACTGAGCCATGTTGGTAAGTAGAGTACCAGGTTGGGGTCCGCGATACGATCGTTAGAGACTTTAATTGACATGGCTCACAATAGTTTGCGACTGCGCAGATGCTTCTTTTTTCTCTCTTATCTCAGATTATAATCTTTTGAATTCTCCATAACGTTTTCTCCTTTTTAAATTTATTTCACTTGGATATACTTCTCGAATCATATCTTCGATCCCTAATCTTTTTGGTTACCGATAATACTTCTACTACCTCTACTGTTGTGGGACTTGAATTGACAATACGGTCTCTGCTGTGATATGGCAACTTGGACTGATGTACGTACATACGTACGAAATTCTACGTTTTAGCTGACTGACTTACTTATTTTGTGTCCTATAGCAAAATCTCCGTAGTATGTCCTTCATTAGAGTTATTCTGACTATGACTCACCCTTTTGCAGTTATAACAAATGACGTTAGGAATGGGCATTTATTATGTAAATAGGAGTTCCCACAAGATCTGCGATTGGCCATCCTGATAGTAATTGGTTGATTTTATGTTCAGTTATTCATAAAACTTCGCAATATGAGTATTACTAAATTCAGAGTTTTGTGCTGGAGTTAACACCCACTTTACTATTTGTATTGATGAATTTGAATTAGTAATTGCACTTGTACTTCGATACCAATAATCGATGCATAGATGCAATCAGAACACAGACAGTAGTTATAGTAATATCTTATTAAAACGACTAGTAATATGGAAAACAAAGCAGATAGCGTTGTAATCTACGCCAGCAGTACGGATCAAAGATTTATTACAGTCAGGCACGTACCTATGGAGTGTTACTTATGTGTAAGAGTTCAGTGCTACTTGAATTTGCACTGAAGTAACTACTAGAATCAAAAGGATTCAATCATCATAGGGTTATCTAGTTGAAGTAGAGCTGTCTAGAATTAAATGACTCAACTTGTAAATTCATCACAAATTTATATTCTCTTCAAATTTACTCGTAAGCTTGCTAACGAATAGAAAATCTGTCGTCTACTTAACTATACGGATGCTCACTCTTCCATCCCTTGAAACAAGTGATTATTGAGACTTTATACCATTTTCATTATCTGTCCCATAAATTATTTTTCTAATGTGATGTGCTTATTATAGCATTTGGGTTAAACCGTTGGCAATCAAACAGACTTGGTTTGCAATCCAACACAAAACCATGCGTATCCTTTCTAATCGTATTCGTAATCATAATTTTTTATGTTGTGTAATCGTTTATCAGGCAGAGTGTAAATATATATCTTCTCACCGGAAAAATTCTTCCTACTTCTTATTTAAAGCCAAATGTTTTTCTTCAAGAAAATACTGATCTGTACAATAAACGGTGATTTATGTCATGTTAATTTATCAAAGTGACCCCAGTGTTCAAGAAGATATTAGTATTCGGGAACTCAGTTAAATACCCAACAACAGTCACCAGCATCAGCTTTTTTAACTCATTTTGCAACCACGTAGAGTTTTATGTTTTAGACCGAACCATAAACGGTGATTGAGTGACGCTTTCAGATTACAATCTTTTTGAATTAAACAGTAATGTTGTATTTAGATACATTTATGTGGGATCGATTCAAAGTCTTCTTCTAATTTTTAAAGGTAATATGGCTGCATTTGACCTAACCAATCCGAAATCAGTGGTTTCACCTGGTGGTGTTGGATTCGATATCAATTGTGGAGTCCGACTTATACGCACTAATCTGAATTTAAAAGATGTTCTTCCAGTGAAAGAAAAACTAACTCAAACTCTGTTTGACCATATTCCTGTTGGTGTTGGTTCCAAGGGTATCATACCGATGGACGCTCAAGCCCTGGAAGAAGCTTTAGAAATGGGTATGGATTGGTCATTGAGACAAGGTAAGTTTCATTTTATCCCAAAGTAAAAATCTTTCAGTTAGTAACTATTTAATACATTTAACAGCCAGATAATTCGTTAAAAAGTTAGTTTTTATAAGCTAATTAGGTGGTAGTCTACAGTTTTTATAAATGAGAAGCAGTTTTGAATGTTCAATCGCTCTATAATTTCACAAAATCACACTGGTTTATATATACTAATTAATTATTCTTTCCCTTGATTTCTTTCCCACAAAAACATAGTACAGGACAGGTACTGTATAAAATCATTTGAAGCTACTCTTCTCTAAGAGTAAATCATTCTGAACATTTTGCGTAACTGACATGAGCATTTTTGCTTTTAGAAATCAAACTAGAGGTACACTTATGACTCAATTCACAAAAATGTTAACCATATAAGTACTTAACAGAATAAGCTAGTTGCTGCAAACAAAAGTTGAATTTCGTTTCAATCTCTAGCCAACTAGGGATGGGATACTTTTTCCCTAACTCTTCCCTGCCCACTCTTATGGCTTAATAGTTGAAGTCTAACCTAACGACCCGAAAACGTAAACTTAGCAAGTATTCTATTATGGTAACTAGTGTCACTATAGATAATGGCTGCGCATCTGTTGTACATGTTCCAACTACTTCAGTTTGTAAGGCCGTACAATCTAATCATTCGGTCCGCCATTCTCACCAAACAGTTGGCTGAATTGCGATGATTTCCCTTCGATTTTTCAGTGTCATAATTTTCGCCGTTAGAATTCGGTCACAGTAAGTATTATGTTTATAAATGCTAATGTTCTTATTTAATAATTGTAAATTGCTTGTTTGTGATTAGAAATCGCTCTCACGGTCAAACTATCATTATTTCCTTCTCAGTATGGAATTATCAAGACTGTTGAGTTTTACTGAAGTCATGGACCGATTAATGTTAATTTTATTTACTGTGCGACGGGTTATCTTTTCGCGATTTCGTAGTCCATTTTAAATGGAATGTATACAATAATTTCCTAAATTATGATTTATCAATTTCAGGCTAGAAACTTGCATAAAATATTTGATGCACTCTATATACCCATGAAATGAACAAACATTATTACCAGCCATAGCCCAATAACCTTTTATGTTACTATTTACCTTTTAAAAAACTTACACACTAGGCTATGTCTGGGCGGAAGACAAAGAGCATTGTGAAGAGTATGGTCGTATGCTTCAGGCTGATCCGTCTAAAGTTTCTTCAAGAGCTAAAAAACGTGGCCTTCCGCAACTTGGGACTCTTGGAGCTGGTAATCATTATGCTGAGATACAGGTTGTGGAGGAAATTTTCGATAAGCATGCAGCAACTAAAATGGGCATCAACCATTTAAATCAGATAGTATTAATGATTCATTGTGGCAGTCGAGGGATGGGGCATCAAGTAGGTTTTTACTTCTCATGAGTACATTTCTTGTGATATTTTTAGAAAGTGAATAAATAATAATCAGTGAATATGTCTTTTTTGATCACGCTTTATTATTAAGGTTTCTTGACGTATTTTAAAATTGACAACTGAAATGACTCTTCTAGTTCCCATTTTCTTGCCCCCACTTTTTCAAATCTCTCAGCAGGAAAGTTGTGAACTATTCTGAATGAAACAATGCTGCATGATGACTTGTTTCATGTAAATAATATTCTCTATATTTCTGTGGTGACCAATAATAACAATCTTTATGAAAGTGTTCGCGCTAATTCATGATCCATATAATGGAAAGATGAACTATGGACATACTGTAGAGACGAGGTAATGATTGATTTTTCGGGGATTAACTGCATAAAAATTAAGAAAGAAGTTGATCAGGTAGTACTTACCGTGGTTAACGTCAACAATTTGTGTGTTGCGACCAGACGAATGATTCCTATAAATTAATTAAACTTTATTTTTGGGTGTATATGTTATAGTGGAGCAGTACTGAATCATCCACTGATGCAATTAATTTTCTAGTTTTACAAACTATATGAGACGAATATTTACAGAAAAACATCTATTTACATTGTTATCTGTAAATTATGCTTATTCAGGCATAAAAGGAATGAGGCGTTATTTTCTCGTTTATTTAATCAAACTACGTTATTCACAGCTTTTGGTCCACGTTTGACTTCGATGATCACGTTAAAATATTGTTTTGGTTTATTAGTTTTAAGGATAACCTAGCCACTCTCTTAAATGAACCAGTTAAACCATTCGAGTTCATTTGTGATAAAATATGTCGAAATTCTAAACTCTATCTAATAGTACTATGTTTTTTGAAATCCATGTAGACCGTGTCTTTTATATTATTGCTAACTAATGTTTATATCTTTCAGACGGAAACATCAAACACAATTTCTTGATTTTGTTCTCACTTTTAGTGCATGGAAAATTTTAAGTAAAATATATTAAGACGGTTGCTGTGAAAGAAAGCTTTATTTTCCTCAGAGCAACTAGAAATCCATGTTAACTTATGTGGATAAAAAACCTTCACTAGGTTGTCCATATTTATTGAAAAGTTCAGTCTAAGTATACATATACTCATCACTTATTGCAGGTGCTAGTAAAGACTGATTGAATAGTTGATCAAGCCAAAACGATCATACTCTTATAATCTAGTTTTAAAAGCAACATCAGATAGTTTGTGAGTTTTTACTTTGAATGATTTGTAAACATTTTCTCCTACCTTCCTGAAACACCGGTTGTAATTACAAATGCGATTTTAGAATATTTGTAGATGGTGTAACATTTTATTTTCAACATTATTTAGACACTTACGAATAAATAGAATATCTTACAACTCCTACCCCCAGTTTCTGAAACGCTTTCTTTCAATAGGTATCCGTGACTACTGCAAATACTTATGATTCCTAATCTCATGAAAAAGCAATTCTGGGTGTTGGTATGCATCGTGTTCTGTCCATTTTCACTTTGATCGAAAAATGCAATATTCAATTAATTAGATATAGGTTTGTGAAAAGTGGTGTCAATTATGTGGTTTCTGTTGTAATTTGTTTATGCTGTTTTAATTGTATATCTTACATCCTTATTGATTAATGTCTGATTACCTGGTGTATTCTCTTAACCTAGGTTGCAACAGATGCCTTAGTTGCCATGGAAAAAGCAATGAAACGTGATAAAATCGAGGTAAATGACCGCCAGTTGGCCTGTGCACACATCAATTCGGAAGAAGGTCAAGATTATTTGAAAGCAATGGCAGCAGCTGCCAACTATGCCTGGGTTAATCGATCTTCGATGACATTTCTTGCGAGACAGGTAATTTTCACATGTTTATATACTTATGAGCATCAAAACTGTGATCATTTTGTTGTCGTAGATTGTCAATAATATTTTGCGTACATGTTTACAGTACAAAGTGAGAACAAGAAAACAAAAAATCCTTCGTATCAAATAGCTGACAAATTTTAAAGCATCTGCTAGTCTTATTAGTCATGGGAATTTTGTTAACTGTTTTTAGAAATCGTACTATGATGGTAAGAACCATCCATTTCCTTGTTGTGTTTTGGTAAAAAAGTTGGGTAATGGACATTTTAAAATTTATTTCACTTCGTAGTGTTTCTTTTACTTCAAGTACTATTTAGTGAAAGGTTCACCTTGCTACACAAATACTGTGTATGAAAGCTTGAATACTAACACTCTTGCGATTGTCTTAAGATCAATAAATAAACCATTCTAAAACACCAACTTCGGTAAGTTTTGTGTATGTCAACCCAATGGTTACATGACAGTCATTGTTTGTTGCCTTCACAACTGTCTGAAATTCGTTCGGTTAATGGTGTAAAGTCGTGAGATGAAAGATAGCTGTATTTTCGTATCTTGATTTCCCCGAAAATATCATAAATATCAAGTTAATGGATGACTATAGGTACCACACAATTTAAATCCGAACAGAAACTGATCGTAATTGTTGTACTTTTTGTTTGTCCAATAATTTCTTGTATATTTGTAAGACTGCTTGCTGAGAATGTATTTGCACCTTACATTATAACAATGCGATTAGCTGAGTTAGTGCAATGATTCATCCACAAAACTAATTTCCGAAGTTGAACAGTAAGCTGTCATTGCTTACTGAATTAAACTGTTCCATCAATATTAAATTTTTATTCAAGTTCAAAAATGATCATTTGAATAATTATCTCTTACTAGCCCAGGATAATGCTTGCATAATTTCCTTGATCTTAGCTATAAAATTTCATTATGTATTCGAAAATCCTTTACATAATTCACTCAAAAGTTTATTCATTGTAAAGAAACCTCTTTCAAAACTGTAATCCATATGTACACACAGAGTCAAATAACTTTTGAAATCCAACACATATTCTAATACTGACTGATAATCCTACTTTATGCGTAGGTTGCGTGTAAAGAATAGATCATCCGGTATTTTGCTAGGCTTTAAAGCATACTTTTGTGTGTTGGTTGATTATACTTTCCGGCTTCCCAGGTCCGTTGTAAATGAAGTTCTATTCAAACCAACAATCCGATAGTCCAAAATCGGCCACATTAACCATTCTATTTGATAGCATAATAAAAAGCTTGATAATTAGGTAACATCCCATTCCGTTGTCGGTGTGGACTTATTCTGCAAAATCACTTTAATGTGTTTTTACACTGTAATGGTGATACAATATCATATCATTTATCCACTTTATACTATGATATCATTAAGTTAGCTTTATCCTACTTTTGAACTTGTTATTTTCATCACCACTCTAACTATAGAATTTATTTATTTGTTTTTATTGTAGGCTTTTGCGAAAATTTTCCATTCTTCACCGGATGATTTAGATATGCAAATTATCTATGATGTATCTCATAATATTGCTAAAGTCGAAGAGCACTGGGTAGATGGCAAGATCAAAACTTTACTGGTTCATCGCAAAGGATCTACTCGAGCGTTTCCACCCCATCACCCTTTAATTCCTGTTGATTATCAGGTTAGCATATTTTTTATGGTGAAATCATGTAATCTAGTAGTCAATAACCACGAACAACAGTTAAAACCTAGGAATAACTGGGCAGTTGTTTTACCTTAGGTGCCCTTTGGGCCTCTCAAATCCTGTGTTCTCAAACAAGGTCAATACGAAATTTCGAGTTTATTAAACTGTCTTTTAGTAATTTAGGTACACAAGTCTTCAGCTTTAACGTTAAAAAATGAATCTCACCCCACTTATTTTAGCGTGAGTCGTTGCATAGTCATTTAAAATCTTACATTTAAACTGTTTGTCATTCTCTGACACATTTATACGTATTGGTTAGTAAGCTGCGTTTATTTTTATATTTCCGTGTTTATCAAATAATTTACTACATGGGGCGTTTTTTTATTTCTTTATTGATTTTTGAATTGACTTCATACTTACAATCTTTAATTTGTCTCTGTTTCATACAGTTGGTTTGTTGAATTATTTGTTGATCCTCCCCAATTTTCTTCACAGCTTACCGGGCAACCTGTACTTATTGGCGGCACGATGGGTACTTGTAGTTATGTCTTAACTGGTACTGAAAAAGCAATGACTGAAACTTTCGGTTCTACATGTCACGGTGCTGTAAGTAATAATAATAATAATACTAATAACAATATTAATAAATAGTGTTTTGATAATTTTCAGTTGTAAATCGAAGCGACTCGTACCGTACTTTGTACACCAATCAAAAATATCAAATGTTTCCATTGTTGTATTTAATACGTATTTAAATATACTTTAAAGACTCCAACCTGATCGATGCATTACAAATTCACTAAATTATTACCAAAAACTACCTATTGAACCGGAGTTATACAGTAAAGTCATCTGTGTGCGATGGGAAGAGCTTATTTGAAAGTTATGTGTTCGTTTAAAGGATTAACAAAGTGCATGCTTTGAAAATGTTCCAAAATAAGACTAAGTCTAGGTTTAATACTATACGATTTTGGCGTAATGTAAGCTTTTATTATTAATAGTATTAGTGTAATGTATTTAGTTTTTTTAAGTTGATAAATTAACGACTAAAGCATTCGACCTACAGTCACTGATTTAAATCTTAAGCAATGCTTTTACTACTCCAGAATAAGACATCACAGATTATCACTAATCTTCGCAACCAAAGACGTTGTTTAGAACTGACTACATAAAATTGTATATGTATTCGTAAATTATGATTAAGATTTTGTGTATAGAAGAAATAACATTCATTGAAATCGCTCTGAAATTTATACTCTTTTGAGGAGTGATTTTATTTAAGATTATTTAATCGAATATCGATAATGTTATTCATTAACCTATATAATTAGTTCGGTTGAAAAAGATCACCAATTACTTATTTTCTTTCAAACTAATGTACTGTACGTTCGCCGCCATAGATTAAATTCTCTTGATTTGCAGAATAAAATTAATTCATTCCATATCAAGGTTTCTCATTAGTTACTCGTAATGCATAGTCATAACGAATATAAATAGTCTTTTAACTAATTTGTATGGTTGATATGAGCGTTTTGATTTAGAAATATTATGTTTTAGTGTAGAGCCTGACATAGATATATGTCGTCTTAAGTTTCCATACCATACTATCGCACTGAGAAAGAAATAATGAGGTGGATAAAAAAGAGATAGTCAGTTACCCCTAATCAAGCTAGGGTTTGGTACAAAGTTGTTATCCGTTCAATTCGTCACACTTCAAATCGTCGAAGGATAAGGAACTTGAAAGGCAAGACAATGTATGATTGTGTTAAAAGTAGTAGAGTATTAAACAGGATTTTATTTCGCGAAAAGCCAACTAAAGTCTCCAAATGAAAAGTATGAAATAAAACTGTACAACAGAATTTAACGTAAGTAAGTAAGTAAATGCATTTCAAAAACTGTAACAGATTGTCAACTTTGCTGCATTAGATGATTGATTATGGGAGTCTATAGTGAACGCTAGCGAACAGGTGTATATCTCTCGTAACGCTAACCAAGGTTAGTATTAACCAGATTGTTTTTATCGATCCGATTAAAGCCATGCAGTATTATCGTTAAACAGCGACAGTGTGACAATTTCGTTTTTCGAATCTAATCTCAATATTCCAATTCGAATTGTAATTTAAATCATAAATAGACTTTTTACATAACATTCTATCCTACTGATTGTCATTTATGATTACACCACCAGTTCGAAACTAATTCAGTTGCTCTTATGTGAACAGTTAGCAATAATAAATAATTAAAAAATGTACAAGTCGACTGAAAGAGTTACTAGTTAGAAACGAAGTGACTACATAAGATTAGCTTTATCAATTATACTTTAAAGTATTGATAGAAGCAACTATTGACAGCGTTAAACATCTCTTTTGTTTAATCACTTGGTATTAAACTCCCACTTGTTGGTAAAATCTTAACAATCTTTTACCCATTTTATTCGTAACTCTTGGAAGATCAAAATAATTTTTGGATCGATTTATTTCTTTAAATTTATTCACCATTTCAGGGTCGTGCGTTATCTCGAGCTAAATCCAGACGTAATCTTGACTATACAGATGTTTTAGAACAATTACGAGAAAAAGGCATATCGATACGCGTTGCTTCACCTAAACTTGTAATGGAAGAAGCTCCAGAATCTTATAAAAATGTAACAGATGTGGTAGATACCTGTGAGTTCTGTTCTTTGTTACTTTAACTCAGTAGCTTTATATATACAGCATGAATCACAGCTTAGAGGTATATGACACAACTACCTCTTTGTTTTTAAGCTTTCAGTTTTCTGAATGTAGTTTCAGAAAGTCATCTTGTCTAAGTTACATTACTACTTATATTACATCATGTTTTTTCGAATTTGACGCTAGTTTATCCAATATGTTTGATTAATCTCTCATATTTACTTAACAGCTGAAGTCATAATGACTACACATTTTACATATTCATTATTTTCATAAACTATAAATTCATTATAAGCAGAGATGGGTAGTGGCTAGCAGTGGAATCCTAAACTCGTGTTTCGTCCTATTTGATAATCATCAGCTGGATGACACTGCTCCCCCAAACCGATGGTCACTCTGAGACTCAAACCCACCACCGTTCACTTCAAACATCATCGCGTTATCTACTTAGATACTGAGTCCAGACAGCCACTGGCTCGTGCAATCGCATGATTTCATTAGTATTTTACTCAACTAATATTAATTTCCACTCAATAAAAATTATTTTTTCTGTAAACCCATTGTCTGACTCCGTTATTATCGGATGATGATAACGAAATATAAATATCCCACTTCACTTTGTGCATATTCGTTAACTCTATGCGCGTTAATGAGCAACAGAATAAGACAAATCGAATATGAGAATGATTCTTGAATGAATATATTTAATACACCCGTTAACGCTTACTTACTTAAGTACACCTGTTGTTCCCAATGAAGCATAGACCACCGACCAACACTCTTCAACCTACTCTATTCTAGTCCTTCTTTTCCAGTTCTGTCCAATTACTGTTCATTCTTCTCATGTCTGTCTCCAGTATTCGGCGTAACGTGTTCTTCGGTCGTTCTTAAGGATTCTAAGTGAGGGCTTGTCTTATGACGCAGTTGGGTGGTTTCCTCAATGTGTGTCCTACCCACCTCCAGCGCATTTCCTAATTTCTTCATCAACTGGAATCTGGTTTGTTCTCTCACACAATAAGTTATTGCTGATGGTATCTGTTCAACGGATCCTCAGTATCTTGCGTAGACAATTCAATAAATAATCGTATCTTGTGGATAACGGCTCTCGTGGTTCTCCAAGTTTCCTCCCATACATTAGAACTGCCTTGACATTTGTGAAAATTCCTTTCCCCTGTGTTTGCCACTCTGGATTTGTTTGATGACCATGCTGATCACTTTAATTGTTGGTGGGTCAACATTAATTGGGAGTTCTGTAGGTGCTACTTCGATGTTGGGTAGGTTCAGTTGGGCTGGTCTATTCAAGAGTTCTTCAAAGTACTCTACCCACCTGTTTCACTGTTTCTCAGCGTCGGTGATTATTCTACCCTTCTTACTTTTCAGTGGTTTTTCTGGTTTACGATATTTTTCAGCAAGCCTCTTTGTTGTATCATGTAGCTGTCTCGTATATCCTTCTCTTGCAGCTTATTTTTCTGTCGTGGCTAGATCTTCCACATATTTACGTATGTCAGCTATGATGCTCCTCTTCACTTGCTTGTTTGCTTCTGTACATCCAGCTTGCGCTTTAGCTTTTTGTGCTCTTGTTCGGTTGATATTGATTGCTGCCTTCTTGTTCTTTCTTTCTTTCTTGAATATTGTCCAGAGTACCCACAGAAATCCATTCCTTGTGATGGTACTTCCTGTGGCGCGAGACCTCATGAAATGTAGAAGTTATTGCTTACTTGATCCCTTTCCAGCTGTTCTCCATGGTAGTTCCCTCTCCATTGAGTAGACTGTGAAAGGCCTGAAACTTATTGCTGAGGACTATCTTGAATTATTTGAGTTTTCCAGTATCTCGAAGGCCTTATCATACTTTTGTGATGCTGTTCTCCCCGTTGTCCAGTGCTTCTTGAGTTTCAGTTTCATTTTGGCCAGCACCAAGTTATCATCTGAAGGCTTGGTTCTTGCGTCCTTCATGGTCCTTCTGAACTTCTTATTGAGGCAGATGTGGTCGAATTGGTTCTGTGTTGTGTGGTCCAGTTATACTCATGTGGCTTTGTATGTAGGTTTGTGTGGGAATATGGCGCCGTCTATGAACAATTTGTTGGCGGCACATCGGTTTGCGAATCTCTCAATATTTTTGTTCTTTTACCGAGTCCATGTTGTTCCATGATGTCTTCATTTATTCGTTAACTCAGAGAGACGGTAATAGGTAAGAAGCTGATTAAAGAAGATAAAGTTGCCAACTCAGTCTAACAAGATGTGACTCAATATTTGCAGTTAGACAGGAAAAGAAAGCAAAATATATATGTTGAGAAAAGTAAGTGATAAACACACGTGTTCATATACGCTCGTTACAAGTAAAGAGTTCACAAGATCAAATATATGTGTGGATATTTTCTCGGAAAGAATGGATTGAAAAATGATCTGTCCAGAAGCAGAAATAATCAACGTTGGCATGAAAAAGTATGAAATAACACACTTCCGTACGATATTTACTCATAATCATTAATGTACTGAGTGTTTCACCTCAAACTCTAACAAGTTTGGACCTATGTTTTTCTATCTTTTTGGATCAGTAGTATTGTGTTAGTCATTTTTAAATTAAGAATTATTTTTCAAATTGCTTAGTAGCTTACCGCAAATACATCTACTTTGTTTCGAGTTCGACTTTTTATATTAGTGTTAATGTTGCTGCACATTGGCCTAAATTAATGCAAGTAGTGCATGATTCGAACATGCAACCCACCGGTCAAAGGTCAGTTACCTTGATTATTAGATCACTGGAATTTCAAACATCAAGTCATCAGATCAAATCTTGTTCAGCTTATCTTGACTTTAACAGCTGTATAATATCATATTGTTTGGTTGTTTACTTTGTTAATTAATAATAACCATGTAGGTATTAAAATTTCATGCATCCCACTGCTAGTCCACATTCATCCGGATTATTAATAATTTGACTTGATCTTTATTTATGTTTCTATTTCCAAATTATTTACTAACTCTTTTAAAATGTTGATCATTATAAAAGGCTACCTGATTTATTATTGTGCTTAAACGTAGTCATTAGCTTCCTATTTCTTTTTTTTTGGTATTCCTCTCTACTTAGGTCAAGCAGCTGGAATAAGTAACAAGGTGCTCAAATTACGTCCGATTGGAGTAATCAAAGGTTAACGTGGACTTTTATCCCGATCCATACTTTCTTCCCTTCGTAACTAACTGTATGCATTCAATACCTCTCTCTGTACACAAAATAAACTTTAAAGTATTTTCATTGTTTCAATATGCTTACTTTGTTTTGTACTCTTATTACCGGTTTGAACAGAAAAAAATAGTGATATTTTTGATGGTGTGATATTTTCTCCCAAATAAAAATTTCATTGTATCTTATGTTTTTCTACTAGATTAATATGTAGTTAATAATTGTTATTGATATGTATTTTTTTAATGTTTTTGTTATATTTTGTAGGGCTTTACATTGAAATTATTTTCTGATAATGAAATTAGTATATTTAGTTTAATATATTAAACTATTGGCTATATTTAACTAGAGAAACTGACAAAGATTGTATTGCTGTTCTATTAGAGAACTGTCTATATTTTCTAATTTATCTATTGTTGTTTAGGACTGTCTACTAAGATTTTTCATGTGCTTTCTAGCAGAATTATAGTTAATAAAATTTTATGTTTTATGATATGATATACTAATCGGACTTATATTTTGTTCTTTGGTGAACTCTCTGGGGCGGTAGGTTGAAATATAACCATTGTTTACTGAGAAGTAGTATTTACGGTACTAATCAACTTGCCTATGAAGTAAAAGCAGTAATTACCTTTGGACAATCATCACTGTCAGGTAGGTGTAAAAGTCATTGAAGAATTTCAGATATTGGTCGTTTTAAAACCTGTATCGTTTTGTAGATAAAATGAGCCCCCATATGCCCCGGTACGACTGATAATTAAGAGAGTCCACTCTTCCTCTCAAAATGCTCTCACACATGCACGGATGCATAGCTGTTGCCAGGGAAGTCTTATCTGCCTTTTTGTGGAGGGAGTATTGTTTACGATACTGAGAGGATGGAAAGTGAGTGTCTGGCGCTTAAACGGAGTTAGTGGATACGATGAACTCATCTGGAGTAGTTGGTGAGTCCTAATTTCAAACCAATGGTGTACATGGGCGATGAAAAGAATGGTGTATGAGCCCACTGTTAGTCACCGGTTATAACTGGACTGCATCTCCTTACGTTGCTGTAGTCTTGTGGATTAGAACTTTGGGCTATAGAATCGGGAATGTCAGTCAGTTACAACGTAGAACTTCGTACGTACGTACACACGTATGTACATCAGTTCAAGTTGCTATACCACATTAGCGCACAGCCGCAATTGTAAAAAGGTAGTAGAAGTAATAACAGTAATTGGAGAAATTAGGGTCCGAAGATATTATTCAAGAAGTAGGATGTAGTGAAATAAACTTAAAAAGAGAAAAGTAAGGGCAATTTGGAATCCAGAGGATTAGGATTTGAGAGAGGCCAAATAATGGATGCACATGCGCCATTGTAAATGGCTTTGAGCCATATCATTCAAGGTCTCTAATCATCGGTTGCTATCATCTCGTGGACCCCATCCAGGTAGACTAAACCTATTGACGTACCATGTTTTGTTTTGGCCTCCCCTACCTTTCTTCCAACCTACTCCTACACTACGAAATATAGCTCGTCGAGGCATTCGGTGGTCAGGCATACGCAACACGTCCTAACCACCTCAACTGATGGAGTTTCAATACTTCATCCATTGACTTGATATCCTTACCTAGCGCCCGTTTCCTGACAACAGCATTGCTTACTCGGTTGTCCCATAATACACGAGCAATAATTTGGAGACACAGACGATCGAAAACAAGCAACCTACGAATATCTTCTCTTACTGGCGATGTTTCGCAGCCATAAAGTCGGACAAAGCAAACTACTGCGCAGTAGACTTGTCCTTTTGTTAGTAGACGGATATCTCGCCTATGCCATAAGTGATGCAGCTTGGCAAAAGACAACCGAGCCTTCTGTATCCGTGCTGAGATTTCGTCAGTCACTAGTCCATCAGCACTGATGAGACTCCCAAGATAAGTGAAGTGGTCAACACACTCAATTGGTTTACTCCCTATCACTAGTTCAGGTGCCGATACAAACCAATCTTGAAGCAACATTTTGCATTTTGACGGGGAGAATCGCATCCCGAACATGCTCGCATTGTTGTTTAGGGTAGTCAGAATTTGTTTCTATGCTCAGATTCTTTATGGCTATTTCATACATACTTCGTTCACTTAGGTTTTTCAAGATAGTAATAATCGAGAAATTATCATTCATTGAACTTTAATTGTAGTGGACGAGAACGCAGGTGGGGCAACCGAATTGTATTTAGCGAAAATTACAGAGATACTCAGTAAAATCGGAAAACCATATCGTAAATCGTTCATTTGCAAATTATCAGTCCATCCTATCGAACTGGACTGTTCCTGTTACTAAACATCAATTCATTGTCGCTATTCATGCGTTTCATACAAATTCCATTGTTTTCTAACTCTTCCTTTCTTGATCTCTCCCCAACACTCACATCACATACTACTTATAAGTAGCTCACACCACATAATAAGTAATGTGTTTTCTCTGTTTGTCTGCTGGAAATTCATTTTATGTGTTACACTGACTCGTGAGTTTGGTTTTTGTTGAATAATTTTAGTGTCACCTTTTTGGATTTTTCAGTCACAGTGTTGAATTCACATTATATTCTGTCTTATCGATTCACGATCGCAGTATTTTAATTAAAGGCCAAATATGAAGATGAGACACTGAACTTGGTAGAAATTTGAAATTTTAAGGTCTTATACTTTTTACTGACAACACTATTACAAGTTTCGAATTTTCTTATCGGTTCTTTTACCTAAATATAGAGTGGCATTACCTTCTGAACAAACAATAAACAATGGTTGATTGATTATCCCAAATACTCCTGTAAGATAAAAGTTTTTAGTAGAGCCATGATGTTAAATAGCATTAGTCTAGAATGGTAACCTTTCATATAACTTGTCTAGAATTCATAGCTGAAGTACAAATACAACAGTTTAGGTTTTGTATGGCATTATCTGATTTTACTTAATCGGTAAGCTTCTCAAGAACATATACAATAGCAGTAATGAACACGGAGTACTTTTAGCTGGGATTCAGTCTATGCAGAACTTTGTTAAAGTGCTTGATTTAAATCTACATATAAACTTGGTAGTGATATCGGAGCCTATTTCGTACTGATGTATTTTGATAACTCGTTCTAATCCGTATTTGTTCTAGGCTGTACTCTGGTTATGGCCAGCTTCTTAGACCGCTAAGCGAACTGTCAGTTGATACTTTTATATTTAGTTGTCTATATTATGTACGTCTAGCGTGTTCAGGTTCAGTTGGTTTAACCATAGTTATCTGTTGGATGGCATTACGCTTGCTACTAACTACAGTTAATCTAAATATCTTAATTAACGTACATAAAATGAATTCGACATTTTTAATTTATCATGTACTAAATTTTACCTATATCAAAGCCATCTTAGCTCCTTCAGTAAAACTCGATAACTGCGCCAACTCTCGCAATTCGACTTGATGATTAATTTGATTCGGTATCCATAATCGATGGTTTTACAGATAACCGATAACTCATCAATAGTTATTTGATCATCATATAAGTATTCTGTTCCGTAAATTGATCATTAACAAACAAGCAAATAAAAAACAGATTATTGTTAGCGACCAACCTTGTTTGTGAAGGAATGCCTACGTCTCATCGGACCAAATATGCATACATGGTCTAATTCAGTTTAAAATTTCATGTCAAAAGCAACTTTGTATTATTGGTTAACTTGAAGACGATCTAATTGAAAATAGTATTGTTCAGTCGTATGTTGTACTCTAATTTACAGTCAACATTATCAATATTTATAAAAAAGAATTACATTGAATAATGAAGTCTTTATCTTACTTACAATAGTATATTTGATTAACTAGTGATAAAGCTTCTTTACGAGAGTATCTGAATAGAAACAACTAATTGAATCAAGTTAATTTTATTGCTTATTCAGAAATATATCATTACATACGTATTGATGCGTTCGATTAAAGTGTCTTTATTCCTTCATGTGCTGTGAAAGACTAGTGTCACTGATGAAGAGAAAAGACAGTGTACTTTACCACCTTTCGTCCAATTAAAATAAATGGCTGTTTGGTGTAGAATACCATTAGTTTTTTATTGTCGAATAGACTTTGCCTAATTTTGTCAAAAAAACCGCTTCATGTATGCGCTAAGTCATTTAATGATTTCCGAATCTATCTTGACAGATTATATATGAGAGTCCCTGGAAATGAGCTAATTAGTAATGGAAGATTGTTTGGTTTATGTTACTTTGGTCTACCATAAAATTACTAGATTTCATTCAATATTAGCTTTGTTCTGTTACTTGTCCTGCTTTAGCAAGCTTAGGTTCCTATTGATCACGCTTTTAATACCTCATTGTTCTCGACTGATTTGTTAATGCTATTTTATTTTCATGTATCCTGGCTTCCTTACTGCTAATAAGTCCTTATTGTTATCCATTTTTTAAGTTTTGTGTTTACCTGGTCATTGATGGAAAAAATAAAAGTTTTTGAAAAGCACATATTAACTAGTCCTATTAGTTTGTTAAAACACTATTTGGTGTGTTAATATATTTGTGTTCGTGTGAGATAATTGGAATGAACTTCCTATTCTTCAACTTGTTTTCAACTTTTTTTTATATTAACAGTCAATTGCTTTTGTCCCTTTTTTTATGATGTTAAGTTATGAATATTCCGGACACTGATGAAGATCTCTTTGGCATTGATACTAAAACATTAGACAATATACTTGAAGATCGAGATGAAATTATTAACAATGAAAGTATCCCAGAACTTATTCCAGATAAATTAGATCATTTTCAAAAACCATTCTTATTGATAGATCGTCCTTATTCATCTACCGCCTATGATCGTATTCGTGCAGTGTTCTCACCAGAGTAAGTTTTTTAATAATTTATTTCTTTTTAAACAAAACAAATCGGGCTAATTACTTCTATTTATTGTTGTACATAGTTAATTCTAAACTTTCATTTACATTGTTTATTAGTTATTACAACTATTTTGGGACTTCATGTCCTACTTCCTTTACATTAATAACTGTTGGTCAAAGGTTTTATTGATAAAATGAACTGAAATCCCTGATTTTAATAAGATATTTTGCGTTTTTAGTTATACGTAACAGGTGTTCTAACCAACAGATTCGCTAACTTTTCGTAATACCCTATGCCTATCTTCAACATTGCTCACTTGTTGGTTTCACAAAAATAAAACTTTAGTCTACTCATGTCTTCAACTTTAATAGATCGTTTTCATAGCCGTAAAGTAGAAATAAAGTTAAGAAGGGGCAAAAACATTATGAGGAGTTCAGAAGATTAGAATTTAAAAGAATATAAAGAATGGATGCACCTGCGCTATTGCAACAGATTTCGAGCCATGTCATTCAAGGTCTCTAACCATCGATTACTATCATCTATCTAGGTAGTCTTCACCTACCAACATGACTCAATTCCTTTGTCGGTTACTTCATGGAGCGGAGTCAGATGGGTTGAGTTTCTGAGCATCTATCAGTTCAGTATACGCAATTGAAATCCACTGTTTCTCCCTAACTTTTTCATTGACCTTTTTGTAAAGGTGATTCCACTAGGATATACATCTTGAAGCATATCTTGGATCTCTAATCTTTTTGATTGCCTCTGATACTTATGCTACCTCTACTAGTTTGGTATTTGACTAGACTATTCGATCTCTGTGTGCTTTCGTAGTATGGCAACTTGAACTAATGTACATCCTTGCGGAGTTCTATATTTTAAGTCACTGACTGACCTTTCTGTAAGATATCATTGTTGTTTCCACTGCTTTTTGGTTATCATTCCAGGTCTCATTGGCGAGGGCATCAATTACATGGCTGCCTAGTTGTTTTTCTAGCTGCTCATGAAATATACTCTTAGCTTTGTTATCGTTAAGTATAACTCTGAGGGCTTTGCTTGCTATGTCCTTCTTACGTCCAGTAAACCGCAGACAAATACGCGCTCGTACTAGAGCATGATTTGAATCTAAATATGGTCTCCAGAACGAGCAGCAGTCTCTTTTTGAGCTTCTCTATCGGTGGCTAATAGCGATGTGGTCTAGTTGAGTCAATCGTTGAGTCGATTTTGGGGCTGTCATTTCAAAATTTGTTGTTCCTTATGCTTAAACTTAGTATTTCCTAGAAATACTCGGTTATCTGAGCGTAGTTGCAGTAGATGTTTACCGTTATCTGTTTTTCGAGTCTCGACACAATAAGATCCAACTAGGTGTCTTTCCGTTTCACTTAATCTACCTACTTGAGGATTAAAGTCATTGAGAGATGCATATTATGGATTCTGTTGTGACCAAGTTGATCTCGTGTTCTGTTACGAGTATGAGGACGGATATCACTTCCCGGCTACCTACCCCGTGGAAGCGTATTTGTTGGGGAACCTGAAAAGGAGATTGGGTTAATATTGATTTTTTCGACCTGGGAACGTGACCTCACAGCCCAAGGGACAACTGCTTGAGGCTTGTCACACACGGCCTTTTTATAGGAAGTTTTTAAAGCGTAAGCTCTGCTCTTCAAAAAGTCTAACCGCCGGAGACAATCCGTTGTAGATGCTGGTTTTCGGAGGGAAAGCTCTTACTGCTCTGTTACACCCCTTTGCATTCAACAATAGAACTTAACTCTCAGAACTTAAGTCGCTGCTTTTAGTCTTACTGTTCTTTAATCGACCTGCCTTGCATGGTAGGACCTAAAGGAACATTTGTTACAGCCAATATAGCTCGGTTGCTTGATCATGATGGGCAACTCGATCAACACGTCTAGGTAGCAGTTATGGTCAGCCTATTGTAAATGGCACACCCACATACAGATTCGGTTTACAACGTAGTCTTAAGATATCGAGTCACGTGCTTATTACTGTTCTGCACAATAATAACTGAAATTTAAATACGAGCAAAAATCCTGAAGTGTTTGTTATTGGTTATTTTGTTACAGTCCTATGTTACGTGAGCGCGAATTGAATAAACTTGGTCGAACAGCACAAACAATTCCTCTGTATCTTGGTATTTCTATTGGAGTGATTACAGGTGCAATGCGTGGAGTTGTATCGTATGATGAATTTCTACGTGAAAATAGATATAGTGTGTTTTCAACGCAAAAAGTAGCTATGGTTAGTTAATGGTAGATAGATGTTTCTTATATTCATCATATAAACAATTTTTCCTGTAACTATTTTCTATGACTAACTATTCAACGCTGTGTGAGACCGTCCCATATGATTTCAAGTATGTAGTTTTGATTTTCTTTAGGACACCACAAATATGACTGATAGGTTTGAAGAACTATCATACTTGTCTGTCATTAAAACTCAAGCTATTCATATTCTTTTAGGAGTTTTTTTTTCACTGGAGTTTACTGTATAAGCTTTGTTCTTATGATTAAGGGTAAAAATTCCTGACATATAATGTTAATTTAGACCAAAATACAATTCAAACTTTCACATCACTTAATTGCTCTAATTTGATCGATTCTTTTCGTTCTATCCAACATCAACGAAGCTGCCTACTATTCGATATTCAAATGTACAACTGTTATTTCTTATGATCAATTAATTCATATTTAGTCAAATTACATAGAGTCAGAGTTTAATCATTTATTTCTCTAGAAATTATGAATTCTGCTTGACCGTTTTGTATTCAATTTGATTAACTTCCGTTAGACGTCGAATGAACGGATCCTTCAGGTTTACCAAATTAAAGATATTTCTCTTTTTAATGTCCTACATAAAAAGGCCGTGCGTGACCGGCCTCAAGCAGTTGTCCCTTGGGCTCTGCGGTCACGCACCAACACTAATCCATCTTCCTTTTCAGGTCCCTCAAGAAACAACCTTCCACGGTGTGGGCAGCCGGGAAGTGACAACCGCCCTCATACCCGTAACAGCACGCGAGACCGAATTGGTCAAAATCAAATCCTTCCTACACCCTCTAATGTCTCTCTTATTTCTACGACTAACTCTACTCACACTCCCTTTTCTCACTGCACCGCTAATGCAAACGAAGCGAGATCACGAAACGTCGTTCCTGGTCTCTTGAAACCTCGTTCTAGACTACATGTTGGAGCTTTTAATGTACGGACATTGTGTCAAATAGGGCAACAGGCATCATTAGCTAGGACTTTAGAATCTCGTGCCATCGATGTATGCTGCGTCTCGGAAACGCGCATACAGGATCCTAGTAAAGTCATTAACCTGATTCCACCTTGACAAAATGAAGAAGCAGCTCGATTCACTCTTCGTGTATCCGGTAGCCCTGATGCTGCTTCCAGGGGTCTTGCTGGCGTAGGCATAGCGTTGAGTCCTAGGGCAGAATTATCTCTCCTAGACTGGATCCCAGTAGATAGTCGTTTGTGCGCTGTCCGACTAAACGGGACAGTAAGGACTCGTAAGGATAGGGACACTCGCCGTTGCCTATTCGTCATATCTGCCTATGCCCCCACTGACTGCAGTGCAGATGAGGTTAAAGATGAATTTTACAGAAAGCTTTCGGACCTCCTCCAAAAAGCTAGGCGCTCTGATATAGTAGTAATGGCTGGTGACTTTAATGCTCAAGTAGGTAGACTAGGTGAAAAGGAAAGACATCTAGGTGGATGTTATGGTGTAGCGACTGAGAGAACAGACAATGGCGACCGTCTGTTGCAACTATGCTCAGACAACCGCCTATTCTTAGCGAACACCAACTTTAGGCATAAGGAAAAGCATCTGTTGACCTGGCGACCCCCGAAGTCGTCTCAACGTTGGACTCAACTAGATCACATCACCATCAGCCACCGATGGAGGGGTTCGATAGAAGACTGTCACTCGTTCTGGGGCACATGTTTGGATTCAGATCATGCTCTAGTTCGAGCTCGTATCTGCTTAAGGCTTACTGGACGTAGGAAAGACACCGTAAGGAAGCCTCTTAGGGTTTTACTTAATGATAATCAAACCAAGAAAATATTTCAGGAGCAACTAGAAAGAGAGTTAAGCAACCATGCAAGCGATTCCCATCCAGAAGCAGGTTGGTATGATATCAAAAAGGCTGTGGAAACAGCAGTGATATCTGCTAGCAAGGTAAACCATAAGGCTAGAATGAAGCCGTGGATCTCAGTAGCATCCACCGATCTGATGGATGCCCGAAAACTCATCCCACCTGACTCTGAACATGATGAAGAGCGTAGTCAACTTAGGCGCAGACTTATAAAAAGCCTACGTAACGACCGTGAACAGTGGTGGGTGGCGAAAGCAAAAGCGATGGAAAAGGCAGCGGCGATAGGCAACAGTAGGCAACTATTTAGACTCATCAAGGAAACTGGTATTAGGAACCCAACTGTGAGTGAAACTATTTCAGAAAAGGATGGTCTTATTATCCATTCTCAATCCAGGAGACTGGATCGATGGGCAGAACACTTTAGGGATCAGTTCAACTGGCCACGAGCCACTCTTCGGTTACCCACGATCTCCAGTCATCGTGAATGGCAAATCGACGTAAGTCCCCCCAGTCTTAATGAAGTTGAGAAAGCGTTAGGAAATCTGAAACGAGGACGAGCTGCAGGTCCTGATAGACTGACCCCTTAGATATTTAAGGATGGTGGTCCAGTTTTAGCAGCTAGGTTGACTGAGATCTTAGGTAGAATCTGGGAACTGGACGTAATCCCATCTGACTGGTCTCAATCCTTGATTGTCCCAATCTATAAGAAAGGACAAAAGTCTTCTTGTGACAATCACAGGGGAATAAGTCTAACTAATATAGTATCTAAAATACTGGCCTCAATAATACTTCGACGCTTAACGAAAGCTCGTGAAGAGCAGACTCGAGAAAACCAGGCTGGTTTTCGACCTGGACGTGGCTGTATAGACCACGTCTTCACACTCAGACAGGTCCTGGAACATAGACACACATTTAGGCGTCCTACAATAGTTGTTTTCCTGGATCTTAAGGCGGCATTCGACTCAGTGGATCGTGAGGTTCTGTGGCAGTGTCTATCATTGAAAGGTGTACCAATGAAGTACATTAACCTTATACAAGCTCTTTACTCGAACACCACTGGTCGAGTGAGGGCTTATGGCGAACTGTCACCGCAATTCTCTACTTCAAGTGGTGTCCGTCAGGGTTGTCCACTTTCTCCATTCTTGTTTAGTTTTATCATAGACATGCTCCTAGACATAACATTATCCTCGTCTGAATTTTCAGGAGTAGACCTTCTACCAGGTGGCTCGCTTATTGACTTAGAATATGCCGATGACATTGTCCTACTTGGTGAAGACGCTGACGAAATGCAGAGTCTTCTGACTACCCTAAGCAACAATGCAAGCATGTTCGGGATGCGGTTTTCCCCCTCGAAATACAAAATGTTGCTTCAAGACTGGGTTGCATCGGCACCTGAACTAGTGATAGGGAGTGAAGTAGTCGAACGTGTAGACCGCTTCACTTATCTTGGTAGTCTCATCAGTGCCGATGGCCTGGTGACTGACGAAATCTCAGCACGGATACAGAAAGCTCGATTGGCTTTTGCCAACCTGCGTCACTTATGGCGTAGGCGAGATATCCGTTTGCTGACTAAAGGACGAGTGTACTGCGCAGTAGTTCGCTCCGTCTTACTTTATGGCTGTGAAACATGGCCAATGAGAGTAGAAGATACTCGTCGGTTATTGGTTTTCGATCATAGATGTTTAAGAAGCATTGCTCGTATATCGTGGGACACCCGAGTGAGCAACGCTGTTATTAGGAATCGGGTGCTAGGTAAGAATGGCAGATCAATCGATGAAGTATTGAAACTTCACCAGTTGAGGTGGTTGGGACATGTGTTGCGTATGCCTAACCACCGACTGCCTCGTCGAGCTTTGTTTTGTAGTGTAGGAATAGGTTGGAAGAAAGCTAGGGGCGGCCAGACCAAAACATGGCAGAAATCCATGAAGTCATTGACTAGTGGACTGAGCCATGTCGGTAATTGTCGACTACCTGGTTGGGGTCCGCGAGATGATACTTACCGATGGTTAGAGACCTTGAATGACATGGCTCAAAATCGTTCGCAATGGCGCCGGTGCATTTATTCTTTATGTTCTCTCAAATCCTAATCTTCTGGATTCTTCAACCCCTCTAGTTTCGACTCTCTAAACTTTTCTCACAGAATCATACCTCTTGAATAGTATCTTCTAATCCTAACCTCTCCGATTACTTCTAATTCCCTTACTACCTCTTCTACTATTGGATTTGAATTGACGATTACTTCTCTGTGCTGATGTGGTATGGCAACATGAACTGATGTGCTTACGTACGAAGTTCTACGTTGCATCTGACTCTGACTTTTAATGTCCTAGTTATTCGTACACTCTCTATCAATTGATACCTTTGATATTTACTTACTTTTTCAATTCTCCGTTGAAAGCTGATGTTTGTTCAACAAGCTGAATATGACTTTATCCTATATCAAATTGAAATTCTATTTCTTACTCTAAGTAATATTCACCCTCTGTTATGATAAATGTGTATGTAAAGAGGGTTTCCACTTATTGCGCTTGTCTTCATTTAGATGTGGATGGACTGTTACCAATCTTTGGTCGGTGTGTAAGTAAATTGTTAAGACGGCTCTCAGCAAGTAACAATGGCTCTAAACGAGCTGAAGAGATACTATTCAATCACGGCCTAACAGAATTTCTAGATCATTGACCGGACATACTGTGATTGGACAAGTGTATACACTTACCCCTTTGTTGATTTTGTGGATTATAATGATGTTTTCAAACTATACCGAACACTATAAACATACTTGTTTTTCTGTACATTTTGGCACTTACTGTAGTAAATGCTTGACCTGTTTTCTTCAGTCCTGTTGATTTACGACTTGGAAGTTCAACCTGTTCAAGTGGCAAAGTTGTCTGCCGTATAAGCTATATTCATGAATCAAGCATATTTCAAAAAGGTATCAACTATTCCACTTTTCACTTCTAATACTGAATAATGGAGATATCCAACATATAAACTTATAATTTGATGTTCACAGCTTTGCAGTCAGTTATATGTTTTATTTAAGGTTGGAGATAATACCGACAAACACCGAATTATTACTGAAATGAAGTCTAAATGAACAGCCATCACTGTTACTTATGATGAAATAAGACTACATAGATATCTATGATAGATCTTTATCTTTGTTTCTGTCTGTTAAGGACATCTGAGAGTTACTTTACATCGCTTGAGCTGTATTCGCTACGAGTAATCATCTGCGTATTTCAGGATTCTTAAGCGTCTTTACATGACTGTTCATTCGAACAGCACTGTAGCTATTATCTATTAAGATTTAGCCAAATAGTTTACTATTTTCTCCTTTTTAACACAATATTATTGTTCCATCCTCGCTCCTAACCAATGCGGTCCAACACTTCCAAAAATAACAACACAAAGTTGTAAACTAATTAAATAAGGCAATTACAGTTAAATCTTTTATGTACACTTTAGAAATGACCGTTACAAGTAGTCATCAAATTACTTGAATTATTCATAATTTATACTGTATAGCTCAACTAATCGACAAATAAACACAAAGTAAAAAAACACTGACAAGTTTTGTTCATTTTTTTTTACAATGAAATTTGTTTCAGCGTTATGCCGTTAACCATAGTTTACTTCAAGGCATGGTATTCGGAATTTCTACTTGTTGCAAAGTGACTATATTTACTGGTGGATGTTAGTAAGTTTAGCTTTAATTCTCTTTACACGTGATTTTTCATATTTTGAACACTTATACGATATTTTTGATTTAAAATAACATCACACTACTATTCGAATGTAGAGAGCGCTTGTTGTATTTTAGGTCACTCGAATTGTATCCGATCAATTTAATCACAAAACATTTTGAAAATCAATAAATCTTCGTGGTGTTGTAGTAGTGAATATGGAGAACTTGAGGAAATTATGAAATTTACGATACAGTAAAATTTACTTCCGTTCGATTGTTTTGTTTGATCAAATTTATTTCTTTTCAGTTCATCATTGTTTCCACATTGTTAGGATCCGTTGTGACATTAATCTATCAATGAAGGGTCAGGTTAATTGCTCATCTATGAGAGTTGTTCTCTGTATTTATTTACCATCATTATTCAGGAAAAATCTTTTATGTTTGTTAGATAATTCTGTGGTCTAGGACTGTCTGCTTAGATTTAGCTGGATAGGTAATCATCTGATCATTACTTGAACCATTGTTTTCAATAATTTCAACATATTTTACAAATAACCTTGCAGCTTCCACATATAAGGTCAATAATCGTAACGTTAAAATACTCCTCAACTAGACTATGGTTTAATTATTCATTTTACTATCTTATTTGTGATGTTTTGCAAGTTCTCAAAGTGAAACTATGCATATATAACTTTCGTTGAGGATGGTGGATCCCCAGATACAGTACTAGGTAAGAAATCGATTCAAGAATTCCCGCATTAATTTAAAGCGAATTTTGTTCACTAACTGGGGATGTGTTTGCATTTTTATCGATTCACTTAGTTTGAAGTCCCCTCAAGACATTTTCATTATATTCCTTAATCTATTGCTCGATTTGCTAATTTTTTGTGACTAATAATCATGGACTTAGTCGATCTACATTTTTACAAACTGGTAAATAATTTTTTTGGGATCTTCACTGATACATTTTTCGTACATGAGCTCTCTATCGTCTGTCGTGTTGCAGGATACTCTTTGAAATGTTGTTCATTAGTCGTCGTCTAGTTCAAACTGATCTCGTTTTGTATCCAAAAAGTTTCCGAAACGCTATTGATTTGAAAATATCTTACTAGACCTCTGATCAACAATATCCTTGTAAAGCATTTTATTGTAATGAATAAAACAATACACTTAATCTATTAAATTAGGTGGTAAATATTTTCGTAGTATGAACTCCCTACTTATAACCTTTTTAGTTGTCAAAGTGATTAACATCAGAAAGCGGACTGGATGTTATTGTACGATTGAATGATCTATATACCTATCAATCCCCAAACGCCCCGAAACGACTGATAATTAAGAGAGTCCACTCTTCCTCTCAAAATGCTCTCACACATGCACGGATGCATAGCTATTGCCGGGAAAGTCTTATCTGCCTTTTTGTGGAGGGAGTATTGTTTACGATATTGAGAGGATGGAAAGTGAGTGTCTGGGGCTTAAACGGAGTTAGTGGATACGATGAACTCATCTGGAGTAGTTTGTGAGTCCTGATTTCAAACCAATGGTGTACATGGGCGATGAAAAGAATGGTGTATGAGCCCACTGTTAGTCACTGGTTATAATTGGACTGCATCTCCTTACGTTGCTGTAGTCTTGTGGATTAGAACTTTGTGTCATAGAATCGGGAATATGAATAAACCACCTACTTCGATCTGAGCACTTTGATAGTATCTCAGCACACTCACAAGTTCAATAATTTGCGTGGCGTATAGATATCTAAGTTCCGCTTTGTACTAACGTTTATGTGCTTAAATAAATCTAAAAATATTATTTTAAACAATCACATCAACCTTTCTAATGTCCTAATTTTGTTGAAAATTTATTTTTCTTTCTCATTGAAGTACTTTGCCGTTGCTGTTCTCCGCAATTCAGGGGAAAACAAGCTACTGGGAATACGCTGCAGGTTGGGGTAAGCATTACTAAACTTTTTGTATGTATTTACTAACAGATTTCCCCTCGTCATTTTGCATTTTTAAGTTTAGTTGAGATTTGTTTGACTAGTTTAATAGGTACATCTCATAGTTTGATGCTTATCTTGCAGTTTGTTTACCTACATTCGTAATGCTTGCTGAGATAAGTTTTGTCTGATTGTCTCCTCTGTTTGCATGTTTTTTTTCTGGTAGATGTTATATTTCTTAAACGAATTAATTACTTTTATTGAGGTAATGAACGGATAACTTCTTTTCAAGCTGCTGGTTGTTTCCTTGAATTACATTTTAAGTCAACACGTATCTGCGAAATTGAAATTTATTTTTTCCACTGATTTCATTTGTCCGGTCAACTATCGATATTGACTATACAGTATGTCATTTATTGGCAGACTGTCTTTCACTGTGGAGGTTTGTTTTATTCTTGTTGCTTTAGAGTTTTGTAAATTCCTTGATACTCTACTTACTGTATCATCGACTGTATAACTATACTTTTAATTATTTATCAGTTTTGACTTCTGTCAGTCTTCTTCTTTTCTTCACTAACCAACTTGTTTCAAAATAGGCGTCTTAAAACCTCATTATACCTCTTCCTCCTTTTTCTGTACTTAATCTTCTCTACTACTATTGATGCTCTTACTGCACTGGGCTCTATTTCAAATTGATTTTCTATTGCTGTGCTATAGTGGTATGGAAATTCAAATGGGTGCACATGTGTCAGGTTCTATGTTGCATATAATCGATCAACTGACTCTTCATTTAATCTAAACAACCTTCTGATCATATAGTTTATGTCTTGACATCCAGTTGTAATGGAGCCATATTTTATTGAATCTTTTGTTTGATTATTATATAAACGTTTTGAACTAAATCTCTTTCTTTTTTACTTATCAATTTCTGTTACATAGGGATCACAAGCTCGTTGTATTGCTTCAATCGTGGATTTAAACGAATGCTTATAGCAGGAATGATCGCTGTTGTGCCTGGTCTGGTTGTGGGTGCTTCCACCATGTTAGCATATCGTATGTCGAATTCAACTTTTGAAGAATTATACGCAAAGCACTTAGCTGAAAATAAAAAAATTTAATGTCAATGTTTCACATTTTTACATTTGTTTATTCGCTAACATATTTTATAGTTTTCGAACTGATCATTTTCTAATCATTTGTCAAACTTTTCATTTGATTGTATTTTTCTTATTACCATTCAAATAGTAACATATGTACTGTAGTTTGTATGTTTTCGTAAACAACTTGAACTTTTATAATTATATTAAGTTCACTTAACGATATTTGTGATTTGATAAGGAAGTTATTCTAATCGTTCTTTGTAAATTCGCTTCTAATTTTAAATAGTTAATTTCTTCTAGTACTTTGTCCTTAGGGTTTTCACTTTTCAACACCACTCACATTAACGACTGCTAACTACCCCCCAATTATTTTCCATTGTACAGTTTTCCGATTTACAGTATTTTACTAGCTTTTATTCTCTCTTCTAAAATCGCTTTTGACGTAGGCTGCGTTTTCATATACATGAAATATATGCTATCTATGCAATGAAGTTAAACTATTTTTCTGATCTTCTCTTCTTCAGTCGAATTCTGTTTCTCACCTTGTGTTTTCGATGGTTGCATAGATCTAACTGCACGTAATATGTTTTTGTTAATTTCAGATTTCGTACTGCATCTTTCATGATAGATCTAAAGCGTGAACTTACAAAAGTTTGGGAAAGTGAAATATTCTACTAAATCTGAAAGGCAGAGTTTCAATCAATGAAACCACTCATGTAACTTATAATATCTTACTCAGTGGTTTTGCTGATTCACTATGATTCTTATACTTGAAACGGATTATCGATCATGATTAAGCTAGAACTTCCTAGGATAGTTATTCATAAAGCACATTATTACACTTCGCGCAACTAACTTGTTCGTTATTTCACCATTAAAAGTCCTTAATAATCTTAAACTTGTGCTAATTTGAGATACTGGATTTTAAAAAAGATCGTTTTCATTTTTAAGATTCAAATGAGAAATCGTACAGCTAAAACGAAATTATGTCCATAGTTCCATTGAATCCTATTGTATGGCTAAATAATTTCTTCAGCACAAAGAGTATTTTTTTAAGTAGCCATAATTTTCTCTAAAATAAAAATAAAGACACAATTCATTTGAAGGAGCTTTCTGAAGGATAAGTTGTGCTTATTTTTTCTACATCCAGTTATTTTCTTACTTATGTTCAATCCGAACTGTTTATAACGTATAGGATGCATTCTTCTGTATAAAAACACATCTTAACATCCATAAAAAAATAAGGATAATTTAATACTTACTTATTTACTTACGCCTGTTACCTTCAATGGAGCATATGCCACCCACCAGCATTCTTCAGCCGACTCTGTTCTGGGCTTCCCTTTCCAGCTCTGTCCAATTTCAGTTCTCGTATCTGTTTCCATTTATCAAGGTAATGTGTTGTTTCGTCTTCCTCTGTTCACTTGACCTTTAGGGTTCCGAGTGAAGGCTTGTCTTGTGAGGCAGTTGGGTGATTTCCTCAATGTGTGTCCTATCCACTTCCAGTGCTTCTCAGTGATTTCCTCCTCCATTGGAATTCGGTTTGATGTCTCCCACAGTAGGTTCTTGCTGACAGTGTCTGGCCAACAGATCGAAATTATATTGAGTAGACAACTGTTAATAAATACCTTTATTTTCTGGATGATGGCTTTGGTAGTTTTCCAAGTTTCTGCCACATACGGTGGAACTGTCTTTACATTCGTATTGAAAATCCTGACTTTGGTGTTTGTTGATAGTTGTTTGGAGTTCTAGATGTTGTTCATTTGTAGAAATGCAGTCCTTGTTTTGTTGATCCGCACCTTCACATCTGCATCGCATCCACCTTGGTTGTCAGTGATGCTGCCCAGATATGTAAAGGTGTTTATGTGCTCCATAGTATCTCCATCAAGCGTGATTTGGTTGGCGCATGTAGTTTTGTTTCAAATAATCTTGCTTTTCCCTTTATGTATATAGAGACCTGCTGCTACACTGGTCGTCTTCTCTTGCATTTGTTGTTGCGTGTGCGATAGAAGAGCCAGATCGTCCAGCCACATCGTAGTTGTCCACTGTATTCCATGCTTCCCTCCAGATGTTGACGCCTTCATCATCCAGTCTATCATCAGGAGACAGAGCAAGGGTGAGAGTAAGGAACCTTACCTGACACTGGTCTTCACCTCGAGCGAGTCTGTCAGCAGTCCTCCGTGCACGATTTTACAGTTTAATCCATTATAAGAATTTTGTATGATGTTGATTATTTTCTCAGGCACGCCGTACTGTCGAAGAAGCCTCCATAGTGTTGTCCTGTTCACGCTATAAGGATAATGTAATAAATAAACTAATTACAACATTTTTTATTTCCTTCAAACTTCATTAAAAAACTAATCTAATGAACATCTCGATGAGTTACTACCAGGCTTATAAGTTGCTGATAATTGTTCAATGGATCATGATGAACATGATAAAATTGTTAGATGATAAAACAAACTTATAAATCGATAAATCGATTATACTCTATGCATAAAGTAGTCGTTCTGATTTTAATCTCAGACAGATGTGTCACAAGTATGTGCTTCATTAACTTCACTTAAATACCTGTCAGCTGTTTAACAGTTGTTCAGTAAATGTAAATTTTACAAGTCAGAGTCATAACAATAATATCTTCAGAAATATGTGCCTTAAATTTGAAGACTTATAGTTTAATAATGAAGCAAGTGAATACTGATTGATTGTTAGACTCTACTTATATCTAAATGTATTCAAAACTTAATAACTAAGAAGCATATTAGTTAAAATTATGCTAATAATCATTTTATTCAATAAAGATGTGTTTGTTAATGCCAAAAAAATTCTCAGCAAAAAGTTACAACGAAAGTGTGTGTATTAAGTCATGAAGTAGTGATCATCTAATATTTATATTCATCTGTAAATCACTGCAATCATTCACATTCCTGTAATAATCAATTCTCGATATTAAATATATTTGATGTGAGTTCTGTAGAAATCTGTTGTTTTCTCAAAGGACGCAGGCTGGAGAAAACAAATCGAGCCAACATAACAGTAGTTCTTTAGATGCTTAGGGTAGGAGGTGGTAAGAAATTTAGTAAATGTGCTATCGTACACGCTGTTGATATAGTTAATCTTAATCAATTGAAATATGAAAATTTAGGACAATAACCTCAGGTATAGTAAAATAGTGTCTCTAAAGTTTGAGTAGGCCGCCGTGAAGTTTGGGATGCCAAATAGTTATATTTGTCCTCAAGTACAATACTATAATGGAGGTTGAAATGAATACAATAAGTTTTCCAACGTCGAATTATGCGATATTATGGTTTACTCACACAATTGGAAGTATGGTTATTTAAGAACCGTCCATTCCAAATAAGGTTGAAATTACGACGCATACGATGAATCTGAAGATAGTATACGGTTATGTCAAACTTGAATCTCAACAATTACCGGTGATAAGTTCGATTTCCTATCTCAGAACTCAACAGTTCATACACGAAAGTAAGGGCTATTGCGCACCATAACATTAAACAGTTTTTTGGTAAGGTGTAATGGGTCAGTCGGGATTGACCACTATAAACTAATTACGTCCTAGTCTTAACGCGTTCTCATGTCGTAAACCAAAAAGAGGGGAGAAGAGATATTCCAGATGAAGGAGTATAGTTGCTGGCAATTTTGTGGTATCAAAATAATGCCGAAATCGTGCCAGATAAAATGGGCGAATTTACAGAGCACCAAAAGCCAGATGGACACAAATTAAGCGGAAAGTGAGTATTAACAAGTTCAGTAAAACAATCACTGGTACAGTTGGTTATAATAATTAATGTTTCTATTTAACCAATCGTGTTTTCTTCGTAAAAGTGGAGTCACTACAAAGGAATAGTACAAGCAAAGGAAAAATCAAAATACGATAAGTAGATGGGTAGATATTTCGTTTCACGAAGTATTATTTTTGGTAAGAACTGTGCAAATTAATTTAATTTCTAGGTGATATTTTTCACGGACTGTGACTCCATCGCAATCCAATGAGTACTTGGAATTTTCATTCTATTATGTAATTCTTCATAAGTGCCCAATCAGAAACATCAAGATTGAAATATCCAACAAAGTTCTACATTTCGAAGAGATTTAGAAATGGTTCCAAACCGAAACTGGTGTGAGCAAGTAACATACATATAATTGTTCGATCATGAATGAGTTGAATTACATGGCTTTATAGAAATGTCTAATCTATATGTTTTTTCTTTTATCATGTAAAGCTTTGATAATCTGTGATGAATGTTGAAATAGTCTATTTGTGACTTGGTTCATTTATTTTGATTTTGAATGCTGTCGAAAGATATAGCTAGTTATGAATTACTTAACAACTCAAAAGTAACTTGGTTTGAAAAAAGTAGTCAGTACAGTAATCAAACTAAAATCTCATCAACTTGTATTACGTGCTTCTGTTAACAGACTTTTAGTTTGTTAATGATTGTGTTCCAGCAAAGATTCGATTTTTTTTTAAAATACAATCATTCGTGATTGAAAATACGTTGACTGTAAACAAATCTTTCCGTTCAACTCCATACTACCTACAAATAATAAGTAGTTTGAATTTATATGGCAATTTTTATGGCTGGCATATCATGGAGAATCTTGTTAGTTTGTGAATGACGCTAGTCTGTCATCGAAATAAAATGGAGTTTCTTTGAAAACTACGCAACAATAAGACACCTACCACTTCTACACTGTTTTAACCAACAACCTTGTCACTGGTCGAATCCATGATTCAGATCTCGCAGCAAGATCACTTAATAGGAATTGGTCAATTGTACCATCACAGATTTTAGAAGAGTGAACTGAAACTCACTTTAAAAGTAGTTAAAGTAACAAGAACCTAAGTAAATAAGACAAACTACTCAGAGACCACTAGTTATTTGTTAACTGTTCCCTTAGGAGTTCACTAGTTGAAATTTTTTTGTATTCTGGTAAATGTTTTCGAAGACACAATGAAGTTGATTTATTTAGTCATTGTTTATTTTAAACGACCT